TTAGTGTGTGAGTTGTTTGAACTGGAAACAATAGATTACAAATGTGTTGATTATGTAAAACATTTTTTTTTTGAGAAACAATTATGTAAAACATCTTATGTTAGAATTTTTAAAGGGAAATTTGGTTGTATAACACAAAAAAAATTATATCTAAAAATCTAGCCAAAACATATACATGTGGCTAAATCTCATCCATTAAATCTAGGATTTTTGGTTAGGTTTTTAAATATAATTTTTTTTTGGTTATACTACAAATTGACCCACTTTTAAAAGTCATGACCCATATACTAGTAAAATTGTATTAAAATACTAATATATAAACGAGCTAATTAATAGTTAATTAGCAAAAAAACCAGCTAGTGGTATAGAGTTTGTTTTTTTTTTTAACATAAAAAGAAATGATAGTGGTACAGTATATAGTTATTAATACTTAAACTAATTGAAAAAGTCAGTTAAAACAAAAACTTCTTGGAAAAGTTATAATAATAGTATTGACTCCGCACGTGCATGAAGCTAGCAAAAATGATGATATTTAACTTTTTAAGAAATAAAAATGTGCATGGATAAAATAAAATGGTTTATCGTCGATCTAGTGCAATTCTAGGTTTTATAGTCAAATACAAGTTGCGCGATATGTTAGGCTTGTTATGACTTGCGATGGGGAGCCGCGTGGCGCATGCCACGTCAGTGCTGACTATGCTTTCAGATTATGCATAATTCAAATCATCTTTCTTGTTGGTCAAGTGTATATTTTTAATATTTATTGCAGAATTTAAAGAAAATATCTAATAACTTAAAATATGATTTATTTCAACATTTTCTATATAAAATAAACATAGGTTGATACGAAATAAAATTATTTTAACGAATAAAAAAAGAAGAAATTAGGTATAAAAAACCCGCTCGTAAGAAAAAGCATGTTCATAACAGGGATATTCATATGGTTTTCGATAGTAAAACTATTATGAAATAAACACCAATGATCACGTGTTGATTATAACTTTTTCCGATAAAACAATATATGTAATGCTAAATTCTGTTTCTAAAGTGATTATATATAAACCTAAATATAATACTATAAAATAGTGTATGAAATACCTGGCAACCATAATGTTTTTATCTTTTATTTTGAAGAGACAACCATATTGTTTCACGCTAGTCATTTACAGTTGGCTTCTAGATATTCATTTAGTGTATATCGAAGTTGACATATCAGATCATATATAGTTAAGTATTAAATGTGGCCCTGTGGAGACATATCAAATTAAACTAGAACAAAATGATAGAGAAAAAAACGATAAGAGCACAATCCAATTTAATCAAGAGATTGATAAGAGATCTTATGCATACGTAACGGTAACGCAACCATACACATGACAACAACTATAATTATTGATTGATCTATATATGTGTATAAAATTATTTGATTGAAACTTCCTTCAAAAATATGGAAAATCTCTCGAAATATATATAATTCAATCAAAGAGCTAGTTTTAGCTAGTGGCATTCAATTCTTATCGGAAAGTAAATATTCAGTATCTATTATTAAGCACACATAATCATATAGTTTTATAAAGTAGCTAATACATAAATACATCTACGACGGTGAACAAAATATACAATATGTTATACTATATAGTAACTCAAGAAGAGAAAGAAATAAATAATTTGGAGTAATTAGGTTATGAAAAAGAAAGTTAAGTAAAGATTAGGGAGATATTATATTAGATGTCATTTTACTATTCGTGACAAGAATCTACTAATGGACAGACAACTGACAAAGCTAAAGGACCTACGTGTAAGCTACCGGTTCGAACCGTAACCGGTTTAATTGTTCCGATTTATCATCCGGTTTGGTATTCTGCTGACGTCATTCTTCTTCTATATATAACCCTACTCTGACCGACTCTGTTTCTACACGTCGTAAAAAAGAATCTCTCTTCTTCGTCCTTTCACTCTCATTCTCCTCGAATTTCAAAATCGGAATATATGGGGATCTGTGTGTCGTTTAACCGGAGAGACACCAATTCTTCGCCGACGGTGAAGATCGTGACGGTTAACGGCGATCTCCGGGAATACAATGTTCCGGTGTTAGCATCTCAGGTCTTGGAAGCCGAATCTGCAGCTG